TGGATCAGACCTTCGAAAACAGCTACTCCTGTTGAAAGTTAACCACGGGGTATTTGCAACCCCGGGGTCCAAGATAAGCGAGAGAGGAAGGTTTAGGGAAGCAGCATAATCTGGACAGGCAGCAGGGATGGTAGGAAGTTCTGAGCACCTGCATCCAGCCCTGGGACGCAGGAGGGCTCTGGCAGGGGTGAAGCAAGCACCATCAGGAAGGGGAAGCTGGGGCAGGAGACAGAGCAGCAGGGCCGGCTGAGCAGGAGGCATCGAGGAAGAGCTGGCAATCCAAACCAACAGCCATGGTACACTCAGCAGAGTCCTGGGCATGAGGTCCGGGAGTGAAAACAAGAGGAGAAAGGCAGTGTCTTCAGCTGGTGTTTAATAGGAAGCTGGCTTTGAAATGTAGTAATTTGCAGACTTGGAGAAGGCACATAAATTTGAAGACAGCTCTCTGAGATCAGCTCCATTTTCTGTGAATAATTATTGGGAAAAAAAAAGAAGAAAAAGATTACGGCTTCTCAGAGCAGCCAATCTATGCTAATTACATTGCACCCAATATGCTAATCACAACAGGGGACCACTTGTGTTATCCTGAAACACGGCAGATGCTGTCACACCACCAAAGGCCATTCCTGTTGCTCTGGCATATTGCAGCAAGCTGTGTGGAGAAGCAGAACAGGAACGCGTGGGCAGGAGAAGCAAAACACCATCAGTGAGACTTTGCCACTGCCCGGTGGCTCGGGTCACTTGAAGAAGAAGCCGTATTTCAGCGGGTCCTCCTCTTCGACAGTGAAGGTGGCTGTACCGGTGTAAAAGGCTTCTCCTGAGACTTCCACGATGACAGCATTGTAGTCCCCAAACTTGGCTTCCTGCAGAGGGATGAGGATCAGAGCAGAGGAGACAAGAGGTTCTCAGCTCTCCCAACCGCATGAAATGCCAGCGCTATCTGTCACTGATGCAGAATAAGCCCTCACTGAGCGCTCTGCCCTGGCCGGGTACACCCCAAAGTGCGCAGCAGCCCTTTTACCTGCCTCACCTTGCCTGCACCAGCTCCACACCTGCATGACTGCTGCTGCCCCTGCTCTGAGCTCGCCAGCCCCGGCACCACTTACAGCCTGGGTTTGCCTCAAAGGAGGCCGACAAGCTGCCGAGGTGCCCAGTCCTTTCCTGATGGCTGAGGGAGGATTTGCAGGGAAGCCAGGCAGCAGAACAAGGTCTTACCGTTACTTGCCTCTCCAGTAAAAAATCCTGAAGCCTGAGGCTTGTGGGAAGGCAAGACCCCTAGACACCTCCCTCCTCCCATATCCCCTCCCCCAAGCACCGAAAGGCTTTTCTGCTTCTCCACCGAGTCAAGGCAGCAGCACTTCACCAGCAGTCCTCAAGAAGGAAGGAAAGCCCAGCACAAGCCACTTGCCTGCACTGCCTTCCCGGTGAACAAGGACCCCGTGGTACTGCTCCGAAAGGTTCTGGTCTGATTCAGCTGGATGAGCCCCTTATGGTACTGCAAGGCGATGCGAGCTGTCACACCCGAACCTGTCGGGCTTCGGTCAACCTACATTCAGAAGAGAAGATGAACCAGTTTTAGTATTTTGGGTTTTAACAGAAAACAATATTGCTCCCCTCAGTTTCTTTGCCACCTTTATACTGCACTTGGGGGAAATCTGCCTAGCCCAGGGGTTTGTGTGGAATCGGGATACATGACAAATGAAAAGACAAAATAAGCAGCTTTGGGGCACTTTGGGATTGCGATCAGCTTTGGCAAACTAGTAAGGATGAGTGATCTAATAAATATTGAGGCTATTTAGAGAGTGCTTGAAAGCTTCCCAGCATCACAGCAAAAGGACTGAGAGGGGCCGAGGCCACCTGCCCCATTCTCACGCGTCAAGGTAGGATCAGTTCTCCTTACGCTGACCGTGGGAGCTGCTGGCCAGCCCGCTCTTTAAAACCTCCAAAACCACAGCGCTGGTCAGCTTCCGAGGCGATCTGTTCCAATGCTCCACACTCCTCACTGCTGCAAAGTCCAACCGAAACTCCCCCTGCTATTTATGTGATACCTTATCCACAGCAGACAAGTTTAAACCCCCTCTTCTCTCTCCTGCTCTGTTGATCCCCAGCAGCTGTTCCCTAGATTAGGAATGTAAGAACACACACTGTGTTGGGATCCCGCCTTAGCCTTGAACTCCTGGGAAATTCCTAGCTATGAGGCATGGAACCTTTTTAAAATGCCACCACCCAAGATGAGCAGAAGTAGATTTCTGTCATTAGGAGCTAAAACTGCGTGTGTTAAGTGACGCTCTGCTCTTCAGAGACATCACTGCAGCAGAAGCAATGATCGCTGCCCAAAACGAGAAGCAGCAGCAGTGTCCCTCGTCTCTGCAGAGTATGTAAGAAGGGAAAAAGGTTGGTGCCTTGCATGCCTGAGAAGAGTTTCTGTTTCTGTACCTGTTCATCTGCAAACACACAGATGTTGGTGGTGGGCTCCTCACTAAAGGCATCTTTCCCATCTGTCAGGATGGTGCCGTAGAGGAAAGCCAGGTCTTCGCTTTCAGGGTGATGAAGCTTGAACTGGGAACAGCACAGACAGGTTCAGCAACGCGCGCAGTGGCTGGGCACTCAGCAGCACGTGCAGTACAGCTTCCTCGAGAGACCAAAGGAAGGGGACGAGGCCACGCTGCTGCGTTTCCACCTCTGCTTCTCCAGGAACAGAGATGGACACAGCAGCAGGAAAGCAAACTCCTTCTCATGTCCTTGTGAGGCTGGAGGAGGACTGAGAAATCCAACAGGGAGCTGGAAGGATGGGACTTCCTTCCATCCTGAGCATCTTGGGGGAATAAAGGGCCTTGGTCCGGTGCAGTCACCCTGCCGGGAACACGCCGGAGTACCGCAGCGCTCTGCCATACCTGTTTCTTCACCGCTTCTGTCACCGCGCTCGCTGCATCGACAAGGTCCCTGGTCTTCGAGGAGCACACATCGAGGCCCAGCTGCTCAGCGCTGAGAAAGGCGTAGAAAGTGCCACCGTAGCCGATGTCGACCACCACCTTCCCATGACCAGGGACGTCGATGGCCAAGTCTGGGCAGAGAAAGGGAGGGCGGTGAGGAGGGGAACCCGTGCTGAGCCGTGGGCTCGCATATGCAGCAGGAGAACCGAGCTGCATACATGGGCAGCGATGGGGATGACGACTCGAGTGCTCCCATGCCAGAGAGCAGCACGTGATGCCTCGTGCCACCCCCGATGGCCTCACCCTGCCTATGGGGGGCATCGGAATTGGGGAGGGATTTGCCAAACG